CTGTTCCCTTCTAATGACTGTCCTCGCAAACAGTATGAAAAAGAGAAAAGATGAAATTCTCTTGGAAAGGGAGAAGAAGGAAAGGTCTGTGCGAGTCGAGGTGTGCGAAGGTTCGGATAATTGTTTTATTGGGGGTGCGTGTTATTAAGGAAATTTACGAGGATTCGAGAAGGACGAGAGTTCTGATGCACATTTGGTGTTCATTAGGGCTGTCGAAAAGGAAAAGTTTACGAGAGAGGACAAAGTTTGGGAGTTTATTGGAAGTGGATTAGGAAGGCAAATGTTTTTTTGATTGTTAGCGGCCCTGCTCAGGTAGCGGGTGAGCAATGGCGAGCGAAAGACCTTTCCTTTCTTTCCCATTCCAAGAGAATTTCATCTGTTCCCTTCTAATGACTGTCCTCGCAAACAGTATGAAAAAGAGAAAAGATGAAATTCTCTTGGAAAGGGAGAAGAAGGAAAGGTCTGTGCGAGTCGAGGTGTGCGAAGGTTCGGATAATTGTTTTATTGGGGGTGCGTGTTATTAAGGAAATTTACGAGGATTCGAGAAGGACGAGAGTTCTGATGCACATTTGGTGTTCATTAGGGCTGTCGAAAAGGAAAAGTTTACGAGAGAGGACAAAGTTTGGGAGTTTATTGGAAGTGGATTAGGAAGGCAAATGTTTTTTTGATTGTTAGCGGCCCTGCTCAGGTAGCGGGTGAGCAATGGCGAGCGAAAGACCTTTCCTTTCTTTCCCATTCCAAGAGAATTTCATCTGTTCCCTTCTAATGACTGTCCTCGCAAACAGTATGAAAAAGAGAAAAGATGAAATTCTCTTGGAAAGGGAGAAGAAGGAAAGGTCTGTGCGAGTCGAGGTGTGCGAAGGTTCGGATAATTGTTTTATTGGGGGTGCGTGTTATTAAGGAAATTTACGAGGATTCGAGAAGGACGAGAGTTCTGATGCACATTTGGTGTTCATTAGGGCTGTCGAAAAGGAAAAGTTTACGAGAGAGGACAAAGTTTGGGAGTTTATTGGAAGTGGATTAGGAAGGCAAATGTTTTTTTGATTGTTAGCGGCCCTGCTCAGGTAGCGGGTGAGCAATGGCGAGCGAAAGACCTTTCCTTTCTTTCCCATTCCAAGAGAATTTCATCTGTTCCCTTCTAATGACTGTCCTCGCAAACAGTATGAAAAAGAGAAAAGATGAAATTCTCTTGGAAAGGGAGAAGAAGGAAAGGTCTGTGCGAGTCGAGGTGTGCGAAGGTTCGGATAATTGTTTTATTGGGGGTGCGTGTTATTAAGGAAATTTACGAGGATTCGAGAAGGACGAGAGTTCTGATGCACATTTGGTGTTCATTAGGGCTGTCGAAAAGGAAAAGTTTACGAGAGAGGACAAAGTTTGGGAGTTTATTGGAAGTGGATTAGGAAGGCAAATGTTTTTTTGATTGTTAGCGGCCCTGCTCAGGTAGCGGGTGAGCAATGGCGAGCGAAAGACCTTTCCTTTCTTTCCCATTCCAAGAGAATTTCATCTGTTCCCTTCTAATGACTGTCCTCGCAAACAGTATGAAAAAGAGAAAAGATGAAATTCTCTTGGAAAGGGAGAAGAAGGAAAGGTCTGTGCGAGTCGAGGTGTGCGAAGGTTCGGATAATTGTTTTATTGGGGGTGCGTGTTATTAAGGAAATTTACGAGGATTCGAGAAGGACGAGAGTTCTGATGCACATTTGGTGTTCATTAGGGCTGTCGAAAAGGAAAAGTTTACGAGAGAGGACAAAGTTTGGGAGTTTATTGGAAGTGGATTAGGAAGGCAAATGTTTTTTTGATTGTTAGCGGCCCTGCTCAGGTAGCGGGTGAGCAATGGCGAGCGAAAGACCTTTCCTTTCTTTCCCATTCCAAGAGAATTTCATCTGTTCCCTTCTAATGACTGTCCTCGCAAACAGTATGAAAAAGAGAAAAGATGAAATTCTCTTGGAAAGGGAGAAGAAGGAAAGGTCTGTGCGAGTCGAGGTGTGCGAAGGTTCGGATAATTGTTTTATTGGGGGTGCGTGTTATTAAGGAAATTTACGAGGATTCGAGAAGGACGAGAGTTCTGATGCACATTTGGTGTTCATTAGGGCTGTCGAAAAGGAAAAGTTTACGAGAGAGGACAAAGTTTGGGAGTTTATTGGAAGTGGATTAGGAAGGCAAATGTTTTTTTGATTGTTAGCGGCCCTGCTCAGGTAGCGGGTGAGCAATGGCGAGCGAAAGACCTTTCCTTTCTTTCCCATTCCAAGAGAATTTCATCTGTTCCCTTCTAATGACTGTCCTCGCAAACAGTATGAAAAAGAGAAAAGATGAAATTCTCTTGGAAAGGGAGAAGAAGGAAAGGTCTGTGCGAGTCGAGGTGTGCGAAGGTTCGGATAATTGTTTTATTGGGGGTGCGTGTTATTAAGGAAATTTACGAGGATTCGAGAAGGACGAGAGTTCTGATGCACATTTGGTGTTCATTAGGGCTGTCGAAAAGGAAAAGTTTACGAGAGAGGACAAAGTTTGGGAGTTTATTGGAAGTGGATTAGGAAGGCAAATGTTTTTTTGATTGTTAGCGGCCCTGCTCAGGTAGCGGGTGAGCAATGGCGAGCGAAAGACCTTTCCTTTCTTTCCCATTCCAAGAGAATTTCATCTGTTCCCTTCTAATGACTGTCCTCGCAAACAGTATGAAAAAGAGAAAAGATGAAATTCTCTTGGAAAGGGAGAAGAAGGAAAGGTCTGTGCGAGTCGAGGTGTGCGAAGGTTCGGATAATTGTTTTATTGGGGGTGCGTGTTATTAAGGAAATTTACGAGGATTCGAGAAGGACGAGAGTTCTGATGCACATTTGGTGTTCATTAGGGCTGTCGAAAAGGAAAAGTTTACGAGAGAGGACAAAGTTTGGGAGTTTATTGGAAGTGGATTAGGAAGGCAAATGTTTTTTTGATTGTTAGCGGCCCTGCTCAGGTAGCGGGTGAGCAATGGCGAGCGAAAGACCTTTCCTTTCTTTCCCATTCCAAGAGAATTTCATCTGTTCCCTTCTAATGACTGTCCTCGCAAACAGTATGAAAAAGAGAAAAGATGAAATTCTCTTGGAAAGGGAGAAGAAGGAAAGGTCTGTGCGAGTCGAGGTGTGCGAAGGTTCGGATAATTGTTTTATTGGGGGTGCGTGTTATTAAGGAAATTTACGAGGATTCGAGAAGGACGAGAGTTCTGATGCACATTTGGTGTTCATTAGGGCTGTCGAAAAGGAAAAGTTTACGAGAGAGGACAAAGTTTGGGAGTTTATTGGAAGTGGATTAGGAAGGCAAATGTTTTTTTGATTGTTAGCGGCCCTGCTCAGGTAGCGGGTGAGCAATGGCGAGCGAAAGACCTTTCCTTTCTTTCCCATTCCAAGAGAATTTCATCTGTTCCCTTCTAATGACTGTCCTCGCAAACAGTATGAAAAAGAGAAAAGATGAAATTCTCTTGGAAAGGGAGAAGAAGGAAAGGTCTGTGCGAGTCGAGGTGTGCGAAGGTTCGGATAATTGTTTTATTGGGGGTGCGTGTTATTAAGGAAATTTACGAGGATTCGAGAAGGACGAGAGTTCTGATGCACATTTGGTGTTCATTAGGGCTGTCGAAAAGGAAAAGTTTACGAGAGAGGACAAAGTTTGGGAGTTTATTGGAAGTGGATTAGGAAGGCAAATGTTTTTTTGATTGTTAGCGGCCCTGCTCAGGTAGCGGGTGAGCAATGGCGAGCGAAAGACCTTTCCTTTCTTTCCCATTCCAAGAGAATTTCATCTGTTCCCTTCTAATGACTGTCCTCGCAAACAGTATGAAAAAGAGAAAAGATGAAATTCTCTTGGAAAGGGAGAAGAAGGAAAGGTCTGTGCGAGTCGAGGTGTGCGAAGGTTCGGATAATTGTTTTATTGGGGGTGCGTGTTATTAAGGAAATTTACGAGGATTCGAGAAGGACGAGAGTTCTGATGCACATTTGGTGTTCATTAGGGCTGTCGAAAAGGAAAAGTTTACGAGAGAGGACAAAGTTTGGGAGTTTATTGGAAGTGGATTAGGAAGGCAAATGTTTTTTTGATTGTTAGCGGCCCTGCTCAGGTAGCGGGTGAGCAATGGCGAGCGAAAGACCTTTCCTTTCTTTCCCATTCCAAGAGAATTTCATCTGTTCCCTTCTAATGACTGTCCTCGCAAACAGTATGAAAAAGAGAAAAGATGAAATTCTCTTGGAAAGGGAGAAGAAGGAAAGGTCTGTGCGAGTCGAGGTGTGCGAAGGTTCGGATAATTGTTTTATTGGGGGTGCGTGTTATTAAGGAAATTTACGAGGATTCGAGAAGGACGAGAGTTCTGATGCACATTTGGTGTTCATTAGGGCTGTCGAAAAGGAAAAGTTTACGAGAGAGGACAAAGTTTGGGAGTTTATTGGAAGTGGATTAGGAAGGCAAATGTTTTTTTGATTGTTAGCGGCCCTGCTCAGGTAGCGGGTGAGCAATGGCGAGCGAAAGACCTTTCCTTTCTTTCCCATTCCAAGAGAATTTCATCTGTTCCCTTCTAATGACTGTCCTCGCAAACAGTATGAAAAAGAGAAAAGATGAAATTCTCTTGGAAAGGGAGAAGAAGGAAAGGTCTGTGCGAGTCGAGGTGTGCGAAGGTTCGGATAATTGTTTTATTGGGGGTGCGTGTTATTAAGGAAATTTACGAGGATTCGAGAAGGACGAGAGTTCTGATGCACATTTGGTGTTCATTAGGGCTGTCGAAAAGGAAAAGTTTACGAGAGAGGACAAAGTTTGGGAGTTTATTGGAAGTGGATTAGGAAGGCAAATGTTTTTTTGATTGTTAGCGGCCCTGCTCAGGTAGCGGGTGAGCAATGGCGAGCGAAAGACCTTTCCTTTCTTTCCCATTCCAAGAGAATTTCATCTGTTCCCTTCTAATGACTGTCCTCGCAAACAGTATGAAAAAGAGAAAAGATGAAATTCTCTTGGAAAGGGAGAAGAAGGAAAGGTCTGTGCGAGTCGAGGTGTGCGAAGGTTCGGATAATTGTTTTATTGGGGGTGCGTGTTATTAAGGAAATTTACGAGGATTCGAGAAGGACGAGAGTTCTGATGCACATTTGGTGTTCATTAGGGCTGTCGAAAAGGAAAAGTTTACGAGAGAGGACAAAGTTTGGGAGTTTATTGGAAGTGGATTAGGAAGGCAAATGTTTTTTTGATTGTTAGCGGCCCTGCTCAGGTAGCGGGTGAGCAATGGCGAGCGAAAGACCTTTCCTTTCTTTCCCATTCCAAGAGAATTTCATCTGTTCCCTTCTAATGACTGTCCTCGCAAACAGTATGAAAAAGAGAAAAGATGAAATTCTCTTGGAAAGGGAGAAGAAGGAAAGGTCTGTGCGAGTCGAGGTGTGCGAAGGTTCGGATAATTGTTTTATTGGGGGTGCGTGTTATTAAGGAAATTTACGAGGATTCGAGAAGGACGAGAGTTCTGATGCACATTTGGTGTTCATTAGGGCTGTCGAAAAGGAAAAGTTTACGAGAGAGGACAAAGTTTGGGAGTTTATTGGAAGTGGATTAGGAAGGCAAATGTTTTTTTGATTGTTAGCGGCCCTGCTCAGGTAGCGGGTGAGCAATGGCGAGCGAAAGACCTTTCCTTTCTTTCCCATTCCAAGAGAATTTCATCTGTTCCCTTCTAATGACTGTCCTCGCAAACAGTATGAAAAAGAGAAAAGATGAAATTCTCTTGGAAAGGGAGAAGAAGGAAAGGTCTGTGCGAGTCGAGGTGTGCGAAGGTTCGGATAATTGTTTTATTGGGGGTGCGTGTTATTAAGGAAATTTACGAGGATTCGAGAAGGACGAGAGTTCTGATGCACATTTGGTGTTCATTAGGGCTGTCGAAAAGGAAAAGTTTACGAGAGAGGACAAAGTTTGGGAGTTTATTGGAAGTGGATTAGGAAGGCAAATGTTTTTTTGATTGTTAGCGGCCCTGCTCAGGTAGCGGGTGAGCAATGGCGAGCGAAAGACCTTTCCTTTCTTTCCCATTCCAAGAGAATTTCATCTGTTCCCTTCTAATGACTGTCCTCGCAAACAGTATGAAAAAGAGAAAAGATGAAATTCTCTTGGAAAGGGAGAAGAAGGAAAGGTCTGTGCGAGTCGAGGTGTGCGAAGGTTCGGATAATTGTTTTATTGGGGGTGCGTGTTATTAAGGAAATTTACGAGGATTCGAGAAGGACGAGAGTTCTGATGCACATTTGGTGTTCATTAGGGCTGTCGAAAAGGAAAAGTTTACGAGAGAGGACAAAGTTTGGGAGTTTATTGGAAGTGGATTAGGAAGGCAAATGTTTTTTTGATTGTTAGCGGCCCTGCTCAGGTAGCGGGTGAGCAATGGCGAGCGAAAGACCTTTCCTTTCTTTCCCATTCCAAGAGAATTTCATCTGTTCCCTTCTAATGACTGTCCTCGCAAACAGTATGAAAAAGAGAAAAGATGAAATTCTCTTGGAAAGGGAGAAGAAGGAAAGGTCTGTGCGAGTCGAGGTGTGCGAAGGTTCGGATAATTGTTTTATTGGGGGTGCGTGTTATTAAGGAAATTTACGAGGATTCGAGAAGGACGAGAGTTCTGATGCACATTTGGTGTTCATTAGGGCTGTCGAAAAGGAAAAGTTTACGAGAGAGGACAAAGTTTGGGAGTTTATTGGAAGTGGATTAGGAAGGCAAATGTTTTTTTGATTGTTAGCGGCCCTGCTCAGGTAGCGGGTGAGCAATGGCGAGCGAAAGACCTTTCCTTTCTTTCCCATTCCAAGAGAATTTCATCTGTTCCCTTCTAATGACTGTCCTCGCAAACAGTATGAAAAAGAGAAAAGATGAAATTCTCTTGGAAAGGGAGAAGAAGGAAAGGTCTGTGCGAGTCGAGGTGTGCGAAGGTTCGGATAATTGTTTTATTGGGGGTGCGTGTTATTAAGGAAATTTACGAGGATTCGAGAAGGACGAGAGTTCTGATGCACATTTGGTGTTCATTAGGGCTGTCGAAAAGGAAAAGTTTACGAGAGAGGACAAAGTTTGGGAGTTTATTGGAAGTGGATTAGGAAGGCAAATGTTTTTTTGATTGTTAGCGGCCCTGCTCAGGTAGCGGGTGAGCAATGGCGAGCGAAAGACCTTTCCTTTCTTTCCCATTCCAAGAGAATTTCACTGTTCCCTTCTAATGACTGTCCTCGCAAACAGTATGAAAAAGAGAAAAGATGAAATTCTCTTGGAAAGGGAGAAGAAGGAAAGGTCTGTGCGAGTCGAGGTGTGCGAAGGTTCGGATAATTGTTTTATTGGGGGTGCGTGTTATTAAGGAAATTTACGAGGATTCGAGAAGGACGAGAGTTCTGATGCACATTTGGTGTTCATTAGGGCTGTCGAAAAGGAAAAGTTTACGAGAGAGGACAAAGTTTGGGAGTTTATTGGAAGTGGATTAGAAAGGCAAATGTTTGATTGTTAGCGGCAGATAGCGGCTCAGGTAGAGGATGAGCAGTGGCGAGCGATGCGATACCACACTTGTAATTTCGATTCATTAAAATTGTTCATGTAGTTACAACATTTTTAAACAATAAAAAAAATTATAACACCAAAAAATGAATTACTTATATATCTACCTTTAACCAGTTGACAACACCTAACAACATGTGTGTGGGGATGATCAATGGCGACATCAAACCCCAATGTTTGGAGTAAGACATTTTCATTGAATACCAGGTCTTGAGCTTGTTCAAGGTATTGCTGTAAATTAATATATATTTGGATAATTATATTGATAACGATTTAGGTTTAGCTTTTGTACTGATTTTGTAAATCTTACCTCGGACCTGATATCAGGTGGGGGCTGATCTCTGTGGAGACACATGTGTGCCATTTTGATAACATGTTCTAACTTGCGTGGCTGTTCTTCCACTTTTGCTGCTAAAAATAGTGCTGCAGCTGCTATTGCATTCCTGTGGAATTGTGACAGCGAGTGGAATACGTAGAACCTGTGCATGTACACTATTGCTGTGTTGATACATAATTGTGATCTGTTATAGACCAGTTAAGAAAAATATTGAATAATAAATTGCCTGTTATATTTTATTTCTTAATATAGTAGTGATTGCATCCTTTGTTGTTCAAATTTCAAGGGAGATTTGTGCTGTTCGATATAGTGCTATTCGATTCTAAAAATTAGTTACAGTAAAAGTTTCTGTTTCTTAGTTTATTAGTGAAATCACTG